CCAGTAATCTGCAAACTCAAGCCATCACCAATTAATCTTACTTACATGGCTTATTAATCTGACTAATATTATCATAACCCATATTTTCAAATATGCATGAATTCAAATGAGTGCATTTTTTTTTTCAGGAAAACACATTCATGGACTATGTAAAGTATCTAATATTTGATTCCAACAACAGTGGTGCCTTTTTTGTTTTGCTTTTTGTGTTTGAGATGGGGGGGGTCTCACTCTGTCACCCAGGTTGGAGTTCAGTGGTGTAATCTCAGTTCACTGCAACCTCCACATCCAGGTTCAAGTGATCCTCCTACCTCAGCCTCCCAAGCAGCTGGGATCACAGGCATGCACCATCACACCTGGCTAATTTTTGTATTTTTGGTAGAGATGGGATTTCACCATGTTGCTCAGGCTGGTCTCAAACACCCGAGCTCAAAGGGATCTGCCCACCTCAGCCTCCCAGCATGCTGGGATCACAGGTGTTAGCCACCACACCTGGACCAATGTCTTCCTTAGAAATGAACTGGTCTGCCTGTTTTACCTTAATTACATCCTTTTCCTGCTGCTCTGCTTTGTGAAATTGCTGCCATTTGCACATTCAGTTCAATTACTTAAAAGTCTCTGCTCAGTTATGGACCTTAGGGGCCCTTTTAATGGTAACTCTGTCCTTTTCCTGCTCTGCTCGTCAGCACCTGCATTTACAAGCTCCAGCCTGGCATTGCCTTGAGAATTTGTACATGGATGAAGCATTTCTTCTCACTGGACCTTCAGTTTTCTTATCCATAAAATGAGGGCATTGTAATAAATTATTTATGAGGTTCCTTCTGTCTTTGAAAGGTAGGTTGTGTTTTCAGGATATGCTGCTCATGCTGATGGTAAAAGGGACTCTCTCCAGATATCTATTCATGTTTCTGCCCAACAACAACAAACAGTATCACAGCAATGTCAGTTGCTGATTATTCTTTCTCCACTTTACCTGTTTTTTTTTTGTTTTTTGTTTTTTGTTTTTGACACAGAATCTCACTCTGTCACCAGGCGCCAGGCTGGAGTGCAATGGCGTGATCTTGGCTCACTGCAACCTCCACCTCCCAAGTTCAAGCAATTCTCCTGCCTCAGCCTCCTGAGTAGCTGGGATTACAGGCACCTGCCACCACGCCCAGCTAATTTTTTTTTTTTTTGTATTTTTAGTAGAGAACGGGTTTCACCATGTTGGCCAGGATGGTCTCAATCTCTTGACCTCGTGATCCGCCCGCCTCGGCCTCCCAAAGTGCTGGGATCTCCACTTTACCTTTTAAACTAAGTCAATCCACTTCTCTTCTGCATTCGCTGTTAAACCACTGAAGGGTTTTGAAAATTTGAAGGTGTTCTCACTTTTGGCTTCTCTGAGATGACCCTCTCCACTCATAAATCTCTTAGAAAAATATTGTTACAGATGCTCAAGACTTTTCATTTTGACCTACCTGCTGTGGTTTAAAAATAATGATTTTAAAATAATGTGTAATTTTTATGTCTTTTCAATGAAGGGGCCACTGCAATTTTTGTAGTAAAATAATTTCCCATTATACCATGATCTTTAGATATTTTCTAGGTTTCTGTTTTTGCCCAACACTAAGTGTTTTGCTTCTTTCTTGGCATTTAGATGCAGTCTTGTCCCTTGCTTCTACTTACATTTATCACTAGCTGCTGACAGTGCTCTAAAATCTGACATTCTTGTGTCAAGGGCTAGGGCCAGGTTTAGATTCAGAGATCTTGTTTATCCTCCTTACCTTTGGCACTGTTTCATGCTTTCAGGGCAACTAACCAGGTCAGGATAGACGTGCTGACCTAGAATGAAGAACAGCACCTGGCTTTTAGTACGCATTCATAAAACATATGTTAAAGGAATGAATTTTTCTCATAATCACAAAAACACATGAGCCAGGAGGTGTTAAGACATTTAAAACCACGAAGGGCTGGCCAGCCAGCCTCCTTTCATGCACATGTGGATATGGTACAGGGTATAAAAGAGAGTCAAGCCAAGTTAGCCACAAGAACTTAGCGAAGTTGTATACTAATTCCTTAAAACAGAAACTTTGATTTCTTAACACAGGAAAGCAAAAGCTTTCTACCAGAATGCCTGGGCAAGCTTGTGATATTGTAGTTTAAAAAATCTCCCATTGGAAAATTAAAACTATGGATTTATTACTATCCATAGTTCACATACGTAATAAATCATTGCTGAGTGAATGAATGGATGGATGGGATGTGTGTCTAACAGGAGGATGGAGGCAGAGAACCTGAGTAGACAGCCTGGGAGAGGAGAAAAGGCTTGAGGATTGGAGTCTTGGCTGCTTCTCTACCCAGCTGTGTGATTTGAGATCTGTATCTTAACTTCTCTGAACGTCTGTTTTCTGATCTATACAATGAGAATATACATACCTATGCCGTCAGACTACATGGAAGGACATTGTAAGAAACACAAAACCTGTGTTTAACCCCATCCCACAAATGGCCTCTTCTTAAAGCCTGGGTGAAGATTTTGCTGTCAGACGTCAGATCTGCTGCCCTTGTATAACTGATGATACTTCCCTTTTTGCCTTAGCTTCTAGACAACTTGGAGCTAGATTTTCAGCCTACTTGTAGCAAAACATGCCGGGTCATAGGCATGTATTTTAAATATTAGAGTTCCTCCTCACAATCATCTTGTTTCAGTTACACTTTCTTATCAATTACATAATTTAGTTGGTTTAACTCTGGAGTTTGGATAATCTTTGTAACTTAGCTCAAATTATTTTTGGAAAAAGGCATTCTGAAAAGGTAGAAAGGGAGAAAGGAAGGAAGGAAGAATGAAAGAAAAAAGGAAGAGAGGGAGGGAGAGAAAGAGAAGAAAGCCAGATAGCCAGTGCCTGTCTCTTGGGGTTACTGTGATGTGTAACTGAGATTGTGCTTTTAATACAATTAAGCCCTCAACAGTTTCTGTTGTCCTTGAAAAGATCCGGTGGACCAGTTCCTTCTTAGATATGTAAGCCAAATAATAATAAACTAAAATTTTTATTGATAACAAAAATACACTTTTCGATAATACATTTAAATTTAAACAAATACATATATAATTCTCTGATTTTCAAATTATGCTCCCTGGAGTTCCCACAGGAGAAGGAGACAAGGAGATAAGATAGCAGGGGTAGGGGGCATTTGGGTTTTCTCAACCAAAGACTCTCAGAGTTGTTATTTTTGTTTGTGTGCTTTCATTTACATGTAAGGTTTCTGTCAACAGAGGATTGCTTGGTGAAACGAAAGTTTCAAACCACTGACACACGTATGTGGCAGGATAATAATTTGGTGGATATGGGTATGGACTTGCAAAATTGAGTGTAATGCATTTTCGGCCTACAGGTTTCAATGTTAAGACTGTTTTCTATTTGCTGTGGATGTTCGTTGCCATCCAGAACAAACACTGCACTGTAGAATCCTATGAAAATATAAAAAAGAATCTACTTAAAACAACATCCTGTCACAAATGTGTGTTCAAAAATCGATAACTTCCCTGAACTATCCAAAATATAAATATGCTTAGAAACACCCCATCCCCACACTGCCACCCCACGTATCCCCTCTGAGCCAGTAAATTCAGCAAACGTGAGTGGATCTCGGATTTGAAACTTGCTGGTCTGGATTAGGGGCGTGGAGATTATCATCCGTTTTCTGTTTTATTTTCTTCGTTCCCACTAGAGGGCAGCAGTGATGCACAGGAAAAGGGAAATTACTCAAGCACTTTCTCAGCAAGACGAGGCTTTCTGAGAAAACACCTACAAAGCGCCTCAAATTCCCGTAGCTGAATTATAGGAGGGTCAGCTTCCCTTTGCTCATCCCTCAATAATATTGAGAATGTTGATTAACTTCCTTTGAAGTTATAAAATGTATCTGTTCACTTACGGTCAAACATATTAATGTTAAATAGGAACATTAAAAAAGACATTTATGTAAAAGTGCACTTTTCGCTGCCTCTTGCTGTGTAACTGCTCTGAGATTTAGTGATTTAAGACATCGCTCATTTTAGCATCTCTGTTCTTTTGGCTGACAGTGCAGTTGGGCGATTCTTCTGCTTGATGTGATGTTGGCTGGGAATGTGGTCATCTAGAAGATCAAATGGGCCAGAAGGCCCCAAATGGCCCTCTCAGGTGGCTGGCACGGATGCTGGCTGTCAGATGGCATCTCAGCCGGGATGTTAACCGAAGCGCCCAGTTCTCCTTCACTGGCTTCTTTGTGTGGCTTGAATGTCTCATGGCATCATGGCATGGCAATTGGAGTACCAAGAGGGAACATTTTTTTTTTTTTTTTTTTTTTTTTTTTTGAGATGGAGCTTCGCTTGTTACCCAGGCTGGAGTGCAATGGCGCGATCTCGGCTCACCACAACCTCCGCCTCCTGGGCTCAGGCAATTCTCCTGCCTCAACCTCCTGGGTAGCTGGGATTACAGGCACGCGCCACCGTGCCCAGCTAATTTTTTGTATTTTTAGTAGAGACGGGGTTTCACCTTGTTGACCAAGATGGTCTCAATCTCTTGACCTCGTGATCCACCTGCCTCGGCCTCCCAAAGTGCTGGGATTACAGGCTTGAGCCACCGTGCCCGGCCCCAAGAGGGAACACCTTAAGAATGAGCATTCCAAAAGGAAGGAAGCAGAAGTCTCCAGCCCCAGACTTCATTCCTACCACCCTCCGATGGTCAAAGCAGTAACAAAATGAGCCCAGATCCTGGGGGAGGGAAATAAGCTCTGCTTCTTGGTGTGAGGAGCATTCTGTGTTGCTCAGGGGGGAAGACACTGTCGAGAGCCATCCTTGGAGACCACCACACAGAGGGTTGAGAAAAAGCATATTTCCGACTTACATTTTGAGAAGATAGTTCTAAATCATGAAGGATGCAGAAGAGTATTTCTTCATGTAATAAATGGGAATTGCTTCTTAACGTGGTATTTTAAGAATTGAGATGCACAAAAGTTATCTTTTATGTTCTTCTTCTCTCCAGATCTGTTACCTAAAGCAATAAAAATGGCCAGAGTGTCGGTGTCCGATGAGGAAATGATGGAGCTCAGAGAAGCTTTTGCCAAAGTTGGTGAGTAGATCTGTACCCCAAATTGCATCCTTCTTCACTGAGTAGCCTCAGAGTAGACTCAATGAAATGGGAACATGAGCAGAATTGCAGAGGGGACAAGAAACCAGTAGTATTGGTTTAGAAGAGCTGGGAGGACTCGTGTCTGAAAGACATTCTTCAAGAAAATGACTTTCTCTATCAAAACATGGACTATGGACTCTCTGCTTCCATAGTTCTTTCCTGGAAATGGTTCATAAGTCTCATCTTTTATCTCTTGTCTTCTTTTTTGCTGTTTCCTTGATTTAAATACCATTACATACTTTCTCTTATTTTTATCACTAAACCTGTGGTTTCCTTAAGAGTTTCTGTAAGAGTTCTTTGTGGGGACAGAGGTACCTTATACCAAAAGAAACTTTGACTCTTTTGCTGTGGATGTTGAAAGTGATGCTAGTGCCCCTATTCAATAGCAACAGGCGTCTTGTGAGATGCTGACTCTTCCGTGGGGTCACACCTCGAGGCCTGAATGACAGCCTCTCTCATCCCTTCACCTTCCATCTACTCTTCCCCCACCGCTCTAAAAGGTGTTGCCTGAATTGTCCTTTAGCTTCCGTATCTCGTGTGCATTACAGACACTGATGGCAATGGATACATCAGCTTCAATGAGTTGAATGACTTGTTCAAAGCTGCCTGCTTGCCTTTGCCGGGGTACAGAGTAAGAGAAATTACAGAAAACCTGATGGCTGCAGGTGATCTGGACCAAGATGGAAGGATCAGCTTTGATGAGTTCATCAAGGTGAGTCCCACGCAGAAGATGAGGAGACACACTTGAAACTTAGAACTGGAATTCCGTTTTTAAAAGTATCTGGAAAGATCTTCCTTCCCTCCTTGCTTCAACATTACATATTCTTTCCTTGGTGCTTTTCTGGATCACTGCTTGGGTTTCTGAAGATACATTATATTTTAACAGATTTTCCATGGCCTAAAGAGCACGGATGTTGCCAAGACCTTTAGGAAAGCAATCAATAAGAAGGAAGGGATTTGTGCGATCGGTGGTACCTCCGAGCAGTCTAGTGTTGGCACCCAGCACTCCTATTCAGGTAGGCTCAACTCGTGGGTGGGGCAGAGATGCAGAGGGTATTAGGATCGTAAACAGAGCTAGAGGGCAGCGTGGAGAAAGGACCATCATTTTCAGGATCACAGATTCTAAACTTTGATTCAGACCTAAGGGACGTAAACAAAGAAGCAGACACAACTGTATGGATGACTCCGTCTTTTCCCGTCACTAAACCGGTCAGCTCCAGGTGCATGTTACAGGAGCAGTGCTCGCTCTGGGTCGGTCCGATACCAACTGGCTTCATCAGCATTTAAACAATCATTGAAGGCCGCCCAAATTCCTTCCTAAATCTTACGGACAAAATTAGTGACTCAAGCTTCTTTCTTTAAACTTCATGATAATTTTTCACACCTGCTCGGTGATCAAAAAATTATGTTTACATTGATTTGGAAGAAATTTGTATATTTATTCTGAAGGCTGCTATCCAGCAGCCATAATGGAAGCTTCCAACAGGCCAAACAGTATATAGCATTGCAACATTCCCAGAACTGAGTTCCTCAAAACACTAGTTGATCTTAAAGATAAGTTCGTGATTTTTTTTTTTTTTTTTTTTTTTGAGATGGAGATTTGCTGCTCTTGTTACCCAAGCTGGAGTGCAATGTCACGATCTCGGCTCACCGCAACCTCTGCCTCCTGGGTTCAGGCAATTCTCCTGCCTCAGCCTCCTGAGTAGCTGGGATTACAGGCACGTGCCACCATGCCCAGCTAATTTTTTGTATTTTTAGTAGAGACGGGGTTTCACCATGTTGACCAGGATGGTCTCGATCTCTTGACCTCGTGATCCACCCGCCTTGGCCTCCCAAAGTGCTGGGATTACAGGCTTGAGCCACGGCGCCCGGCCAAGTTTGTGATTAAATACCATCTATAATTGCTAAGACAACGTTTGGTTTTTGGTTTTTAAATACAGGAATTTTGAGAACGTCTGCTGGGTCAAATGTGCATTATGAATCTTCAAGACAGAGATATATTACACAGTGTTTCCCAAACTTTTATGACTCAGCATTTCTCTGAGGGACACTATTGCTTTCTAAGACAGACAGTTTGGGAAACACAGTGGTTCCCAACACATAACTTGAGGTTTGATTCAGAAATCTAAAAATCACCTTCTGGCAGTTTCACTGATACGAAAAAATATTATATCCAAATGATTTTATTTAATAGCAATTTCAGTATAAGTTTATCAAAAAACTCAGAGATACAATACGATTGTCCACAGTGATCCAACATTTAAACCAGCAGAGCTAAAAGCAGAATACTGAGTTTTGTCCTGTAAGCATTACACCATATTTGTATTTATATGTGTATCTATACGTATAGACGCACATTAAATATTTTTTATTTATGTAATTATATACAGAAAATAAACATATGTATATATTTGCTTCTAAATGTGTATCTGCATTATACATATGTATAAAATAGAGAGAGAGATAGTTTTTAAATCTGTTTGCTGTATGTTTTATGACTTGGAGTGAACACAGACTCAATGCCTGTTTCCCAGGTGATCTGAGATTTTAAAATGTTAACAAATATGAGACGATAAGATGATGGGCTGAATAAACTCACATTGCGTCTCTGCTGGGGATGATAAGATGATGGGCTGAATAAACTCTGCTGGGGATGAGAATGTAAGATCCACGGCATCATTTTGTTTGTAATAGAGTTTCACTTTGCAAATGCATCACTTTAACCGTTTACTTGCAGAGGAAGAGAAGTATGCCTTTGTCAACTGGATAAACAAAGCCCTGGAAAACGACCCTGATTGTCAGCATGTCATCCCAATGAATCCGAACACGAATGATCTCTTCAATGCTGTTGGCGATGGCATTGTCCTTTGGTAAATAATACTTCTCTCTTGGTTTCCAAAGAATTGCCCATTTTCTAGACCATCAAGAATTCGTTGTATTTATCCCAGGCCAACTTCGTTCGGCTCAGCTGCACCTAAAGTCTTCTCTGGACTTTCACTCGTCCAGCTCCAGGACAGCAGACTAATGTTAAAAACAGTTTATATAAGATATGTAAAGTTGCTATTGCTTGAGTGGAGAGGAGGGATAACATTATGGAGGTAAACAGGGAAGGTCTAGTAATACCAAGTCAAAAGCATTCGATATCTGATCGACGTATTGGATAATTAAGTGGAGGAAATTTATAAAGTACTGATTAAATAATGACTATAGAAGGACATTTAAAAGTTTATCTGATGACAAGTTAAAAGTATAAAGTTTGGGCCGGGCGCCGTGGCTCACGCCTGTAATCCCAGCACTTTGGGAGGCCGAGGTGGGTGGATCACGAGGTCAAGAGATCGAGACCATCCTGGTCAACGTGGTGAAACCCTGTCTCTACTAAAAATACAAAAAATTAGCTGGGCACGGTGGCGCGTGCCTGTAATCCCAGCTACTCAGGAGGCTGAGGCAGGAGAATTGCCTGAACCCAGGAGGCGGAGGTTGCGGTGAGCCGAGATCACGCCATTGCACTCCAGCCTGGGTAACAAGAGTGAAACTCCGTCTCAAAAAAAAAAAGTATAAAGTTTGATCAGGCATCAAATAGAAATATAGACATTATATAAGCTCAGAAGTACACAGATAGTCTTTCCTATAATGGGGACAATTTTCCTGGCTGTGTATATATTTGGAATACACGCTGGGTGGCTTCATCTGAGCATGGCTCCCCATGAAGCAGACAGAACTCATAATAGCAGCAGCGTGACTGAAACACTCTAATGCAAACTATAGTCCTTAAGCAAAGAAACCTTTGAGTGGTACAGAGAAATCTACAACTCAAGCACTGAGGACATATGGGAAAGGGGGAGTGCCTTCTATCCACAGGAGGCCTCTAAATACGGAGCTGGTCAGGGCTGCGTGACAGCTTTGAAAACGGCTCCGTAGCTCTCGCTTCGGCAGGTTCTCTGTCACCGCAGGCCATGCTGGGAGTGAGGTGATGAGGTGCTCAGTATGTGGGGGCCTCAGGAGTTAAAGGAAACGATGGGTGGGCAAGACATTGAGCCTCTTCCTCTGCTCTGATCAGAGCAATTCTACTTTTGATATTTGATTTATTAGAGTTTGTCCTGAGAATTCATTTTTAAAAGGTTCAACTGCTATAAAAAGATAAAAATTCTAGCTTTTAGGTTGTCACTAAGTCTTTCCTCAGTCTCCTAGTTTTACCTTCTTAGACCTCTGTGACTCAGTGGCACCAGCCTAGGGCACTGAGAAGGATATAAAAATGTTATCTGTGATTAGCTGAAGATACAAAGTTTGATCCGGTGTGAAATAGCAATGTAGACATTATACCAGGTCAGAATTGTGCAGAGAGTCTTTTATAGAATGGGGACAATTTTCATGGCTAAGAAAATAGAGTACTTATGGAAGAACTACTTTGGTTATCCACCCAGAATTTCCTAATGTGCTAAGAAAATCAGGATAATTTTGCAGCTGTTTAGGTGAGAGAATGAAGTGGGGTCCTCATTTCCAACCTCCACATACTAATATAACTTCAAGAGTATTAACCTTTCCCGCAGATAGTTTGAGTCTAGTCAAACAGCATAACCAATTTTATATCCAATCAGCACATTCTGTTGCTGTCTTCTTTGATTATGATGCTGCTAGAATTTAAATTCAATGTTACTGGGCTCTGTTATTTAGAAGACTGCTTTCTTTAATGTAATTTTTCTCTTTCAGTAAAATGATCAACCTCTCAGTGCCGGACACAATTGATGAAAGAACAATCAACAAAAAGAAGCTCACCCCTTTCACCATTCAGGTATGTCTTCCACCATTACCATAACACAGGATCTCCTTGGAATCAGTGAGCGCCGTAGTGGCCCAGCCCTCATTCCCCAAACCCAGGCTTTGGGCTGGGGACCTGTCATACTTCAGAGATAAAGGGACGCATTTCTGAGCAGCAAGGAAGAGGGACAGGTGAAGCGGTAGCAGCTGGGGGTTTATGTGTTTTGGCCACTTAGGAATGAAATTCACTTTGCCTAAAGTTTTAATACAAGCTTTCCTTAGCAATTTATCTTTGATTTGATGCCAAATACTTCGTATTTTAGCTGAAAATTATCATAAGCCTCTCTAAGAAGTGAGGGAAGTACTCTGGCAGCCTTCATAGTGACATCGGCCGCAGCCGCAAGTGTAATAAATATAACTTGCTTTTATTCCATCAATTTGTTGATTAACTGGAATGGTAAGCAGCAGTAAGTGCATTTCAGTGTATGTTCCAATATTTTAACATGATTGTAATTCTCTTGCTAGGAAACCACATCTAACTTCTTAAATCACGAACAATATATTATCTCCTGTGTAGATTTAAGCACCCTTATGTACTTTAAAAATGGAAATGGTAACCGAATTGAGAACAATGATTAAACACGTATGAAAGCGCTTAATGTTGAATTTGCTCATAATCTTGACCCTCTGTAGAAACAGTACCTTTCACTTACCATTTGAGCACTAGAACAAGAACCCACTTTTCTTCTGATAGTTCTTTTCCTAATTCACTGGTGGCCTTTGCTTTGTTTTTAATTTGTCCATTAAAACAATTTCCATACATCTCTGACACTGATATCTCTTCCTTTTGAAACCCGAAAGTAGTACATAGATTGTCTGGACTGAAAAGTTCCTGACTCTATCCCGACTATATGTGAGTTACGTTACCTGCATTGCTGTTAGTCGTGAGAACATAGAATCTGTGAGTGTGTGTGTACTCAGTGCCCTCAGTTACTACAGATACTCAGCAAATCGACCTAGTAAAAATCATACATCTTTTCCAGAAATTTTAATTGTATCTTTTTTCTTTTTCTTTTTGTTGTTGTTGGTTTCAAGATGGAGTTTTACGCTTGTCGCCCCGGAGTCTCACACTGTAGCCCAGGCTGGAGTGCAATGGCGCCATCTCGGCTCACTGCAACCTCTGCCTCCTGGTTACAAGTGATTCTCCTGTCTCAGCCTCCCTTGCAGCGGGGATTATAGGTGTCTGCCACTAGGCCCAGCTAATTTTTGTATTTTTAGTAGAGATGGGGTTTCACGATGTTGGTGAGGCTGGTCTCAAACTCCTGACCTCAGGTGATCCACCCACCTTGGCCTCCCAAATGCTGGGATTACAAGCAAGAGCCACCATGCCAGACCTTTTTCATTTTCTTAACACCCAATCTGCAAGTCAAAAAGCTCTTCTGCCACTCTTTTATGATCTTGATTTACATCAACAATTGTCAATGATGGCCGGTGACAGGACAATGCCTTCCTCAAAGGTGCCCCTTTATTTTTGGCCAGTAGAGATGTTGTGTGTGTCAGCTTCATCACAGACCAAGGTGGAAAAATACAGGACTCATTAGTCTCCTGCCAACCAGAATGAGCCTTCAACTCATGGAACGGGTTTCACTGAAAGGCCCACAGCATGAGCTCAGTGTCTGGGTTCCGGGGTTTTCTCTTCTGGTTTGAGTCACTGTTTTTTCTCAATGTTAAAATGAGTGAAACCATGACTCTAAACCTGTGACCTTTGCAGAAGGAAAACATTGTTGCTCTTTCATCAGTATTATTTGTTGTCTACAAACTCAAAGAACAAAAGCTTCCTATATTTTCTACCTCAGGAAAATCTAAACTTGGCTCTGAACTCTGCCTCAGCCATCGGGTGCCATGTGGTTAACATAGGGGCTGAGGACCTAAAGGAGGGGAAGCCTTATCTGGTCCTGGGACTTCTGTGGCAAGTCATCAAGATTGGGCTGTTTGCTGACATCGAACTCAGCAGAAATGAAGGTAAAAGCAAGTCCCAAGTGTCATTCATGACACGGCTTTCTTATAACTTAACGTGTTGGGGACTGTAGGAGGATGTCAGAAATTCTCCAGTTTTGAAAACCACACAGTTATATTGAATCCATGACATTCGTGTAACAGATTCTATACACAAAAAGCAGGCGTTTTTAAGTGACAGAGCAAAAGCTTTTTAAGACCACAGACTAACAATAATCCTTGTTTGGAGCATAGGACTCAGCTTGACTGTTTGACACTCTAACCCAAGAGCTTTTTTCAGAGATCACTTTGCCTTCAGATGCTTTGTAACAAATAAGATGACTTTTAACTTGCATCTTGTGAAGGAAGCAACTCATATACTTTGATGGTACCAAATTAGGAGGAACTTGGTCTATTTCTTATAAAAACTGTAGAGGAGGGTATAGGTCAAAATTATATAGGATGCAATTATATAGGATGAATAAGAAGTGGAGATCTAAACAAGATGAAGATGGTAGTTAATCATATTGTGGTGTATACTCGTCATTTGCCAAGAAAGTAGATTTCGGCTACTCTTACTACAAAAAAAAAAAAAAGAAAGAGATAAAAGGAAGGTAATGATATGAGACGTGGGTATGTTACTTTGCTTCACTAACAGTAACCAGCTTACTATGGATGTATCTACCAAGATAAGTAACTAAAACATCACATTATACGCCTTAAATCTATACAGGAGAGAATAAAACTGTTTAAAGACCATAGAAATTACATTTAGGGTTTCAGAGTTCTCAACTAAATATGTAGCTGTCAATCTGACTGCATCTTCTCTTGCCATCTTATCTATATAAACAGTGAGAGTGCCACAGTTCAGACAGAGATAGCCAACCTTGAGAAGCATCATACAAAACACAGCATTATCTTTAGTTTTCAGGTACAAATCCTACCAATATGAAATCTGTAGCCAAGTTCTGATCTCTAGTTATACGTACTTTTTATTTATATGTCCAAATATGATAACCAATGAAGAATCCTGAAATATTATTTAAAAACCAATGTAAGCTGGGTGTGGTGGCTCAAGCCTGTAATCCCAGCACTTTGGGAGGCCGAGGCAGGTGGATCACGAGGTCAAGAGATTGAGACCATCCTGGTCAACATGGTGAAACCCCGTCTCTACTAAAAGTACAAAAATTAGCTGGGCATGGTGGTGCGTGCCTGTAATCCCAGCTACTCAGGAGGAGGTTGCGGTGAGCCGAGATCACGCCATTGCACTCCAGCCTGGGTAACAAGAGCGAAACTCCATTCAAAAAAAAAAAAAAAAAAAAAAAAAACCAATGTATTAAACATAATATAAAGAAGTGGAGGAGAAGAAATAGGGATCTTAGAACCTGTGAGGAAGAATATTGATCTTCAAATAATGACCTCAGCTAAATTTAAACCTAGCTGAGCAAAAAATATTTACTCATCTGGGAACATGTAGAGGAGAATTGATTATATTGTTGCATTGCTATAATTAGGCAAGTAAGCACTTGAAATACAAAACACCTATGGGAATAGACAGAACATTGTTATTATTACAAAATTGATCTCTTAAAAGCAAAAGTGTTGTCATATTGTGAAATGTGGTTTGCCAGACCCAGCAAAGCATCCAAGTGACTCTTCTGGTTACACTAATAATAGCAAACATGGTATCTGCAACATGCCAAATAAACAAGCTAGTAGCCTTGGTTATTTTTGTGGCTCTGCCCAAATGTTCTTAAAAATAGCATTGAGATTCATTGTGCCTTGTTTTCTCTATCTGAAAAATGGGAATAATAAATATACACACAATAGTTTACACTTCTTTTAAGGGATTAATAATAAAATATTTAATCCATGGGAAAGGCTGTAAGAACCTTTACCCCAAAGAGGTAACTGCTGTCTTTAGCTTTCCAGCAGAGCTCAATACAAGTTATAACCCAACATACTCCCTCAACATCACTGCATTTAATTGTCTTTGGTTTTTGTGCTTCTTCAGCTCTGATTGCTCTTTTGAGAGAAGGGGAGAGCCTGGAAGATTTGATGAAACTCTCCCCTGAAGAGCTCTTGCTGAGGTGGGCTAATTACCACCTGGAAAATGCAGGCTGCAACAAAATTGGCAACTTCAGCACCGACATCAAGGTAGGCGGAGCGTTGTTTGATCGTGACTACCTGCAGCAGTGAAGGGGAATTTGGTTATTAATAAAGAAAAGACAAAGATTTGGGGCTTCATCTCTTCAGAAGCTCCAGGGTTGTTCTGGTGCTGTTTTGGAGCTGCTTACTGTCCTTGAGAGGCCATCTGCTGCTCTAGTCCTGGGCCACACACAGATTTGCCCAGAGTCCTATTGCAGTGTCTCATTGGAGTTTCTGTATCAGGAAGTAGAGGGACAAAGGCAAGCTAGAGGAAGAGCAAGAGAACAGATTTCTTTCCAAGTAAAGAGAATATATGTAGGTCTGTAATGTCTCTGGTTTCATAAATGGGAGAGGCAGATGGGAGTTCCGTTTAAAACATTAAGTGAGGATGACTCTTCTGGTTACACTAATAATAGCAAACATGGTATCTGCAACATGCCCAGCACTGTTCCACATGATTTATGTGTATTCTCTTGTTGAATCCTTACAACAACCCCATGAGGTAAGGGTTATTATCCTCTCATTTTACAGACAAAGAGACAAGGAGGTCTACAGGGGAAAGGCTGAGGCAGAAATACACTGGTTTTCAAGTACATGAAAGGTTCCATGTCAAAGTGAAAAAAAACAGCTGTTGGTGATGATGACAGATGGATCAAGATAGAAAGTGGTTAAGGAGCAGTATGGAATGGAAAGTGGTCCCTAGCAGGAAAGAGCAGGAGATGCTGGGATGCAGCAGGAAAGAAGAGGAGATGCTGGGATGCAGCAGGAAAGAGCAGGAGATGCTGGGACGCAGCAGGAAAGAGCAGGAGATACTGGGATGCAGCAGGAAAGAAGAGGACATGCTGGGACGCAGCAGGAAAGAGCAGGAGATGCTGGGACGCAGCAGGAAAGAGCAGGAGATGCTGGGATGCAGCAGGAAAGAAGAGGAGATGCTGGGATGCAGCAGGAAAGAGCAGGACATGCTGGGACGCAGCAGGAAAGAGCAGGAGATGCTGGGACGCAGCAGGAAAGAGCAGGAGATGCTGGGACGCAGCAGGAAAGAGCAGGAGATGCTGGGATGCAGCAGGAAAGAGCAGGAGATGCTGGGACGCAGCAGGAAAGAAGAGGAGATGCTGGGATGCAGCAGGAAAGAGCAGGAGATACTGGGATGCAGCAGGAAAGAAGAGGAGATGCTGGGATGCAGCAGGAAAGAGCAGGAGATGCTGGGACGCAGCAGGAAAGAGCAGGAGATGCTGGGATGCAGCAGGAAAGAGGAGGACATGCTGGGATGCAGCAGGAAAGAAGAGGAGATGCTGGGATGCAGCAGGAAAGAGCAGGAGATGCTGGGGCGCAGCAGGAAAGAGCAGGAGATGCTGGGATGCAGCAGGAAAGACGGGGACATGCTGGGATGCAGCAGGAAAGAGCAGGAGATGCTGGGACACAGGAGGAAAGAGGAGGACATGCTGGGATGCAGCAGGAAAGAGCAGGAGATGCTGGGACGCAGCAGGAAAGAGCAGGAGATGCTGGGATGCAGCAGGAAAGAAGAGGAGATGCTGGGATGCAGCAGGAAAGAGCAGGAGATGCTGGGATGCAGCAGGAAAGAAGAGGAGATGCTGGGATGCAGCAGGAAAGAGCAGGAGATGCTGGGACGCAGCAGGAAAGAAGAGGAGATGCTGGGATGCAGCAGGAAAGAGCAGGAGATACTGGGATGCAGCAGGAAAGAAGAGGAGATGCTGGGATGCAGCAGGAAAGAGCAGGAGATGCTGGGACGCAGCAGGAAAGAGCAGGAGATGCTGGGATGCAGCAGGAAAGAGGAGGACATGCTGGGATGCAGCAGGAAAGAAGAGGAGATGCTGGGATGCAGCAGGAAAGAGCAGGAGATGCTGGGGCGCAGCAGGAAAGAGCAGGAGATGCTGGGATGCAGCAGGAAAGACGGGGACATGCTGGGATGCAGCAGGAAAGAGCAGGAGATGCTGGGACACAGGAGGAAAGAGGAGGACATGCTGGGATGCAGCAGGAAAGAGCAGGAGATGCTGGGACGCAGCAGGAAAGAGCAGGAGATGCTGGGATGCAGCAGGAAAGAAGAGGAGATGCTGGGATGCAGCAGGAAAGAGCAGGAGATGCTGGGATGCAGCAGGAAAGAAGAGGAGATGCTGGGATGCAGCAGGAAAGAGCAGGAGATGCTGGGACGCAGCAGGAAAGAGCAGGAGATGCTGGGTTGCAGGAGGAAAGAGGAGGACATGCTGGGATGCAGCAGGAAAGAGCAGGAGATGCTGGGACGCAGCAGGAAAGAGCAGGAGATGCTGGGATGCAGCAGGAAAGAAGAGGAGATGCTGGGATGCAGCAGGAAAGAGCAGGAGATGCTGGGATGCAGCAGGAAAGAGCAGGAGATGCTGGGATGCAGCAGGAAAGAGCAGGAGATGCTGGGATGCAGGAGGAAAGAGCAGGAGATGCTGGGATGCAGCAGGAAAGAGGAGGACATGCTGGGATGCAGCAGGAAAGAGCAGGAGATGCTGGGATGCAGGAGGAAAGAGGAGGACATGCTGGGATGCAGCAGGAAAGAGCAGGAGATGCTGGGACACAGCAGGAAAGAGCAGGAGATGCTGGGATGCAGGAGGAAAGAGGAGGACATGCTGGGATGCAGCAGGAAAGAGCAGGAGATGCTGGGACGCAGCAGGAAAGAGCAGGAGATGCTGGGATGCAGCAGGAAAGAGCAGGAGATGCTGGGATGCAGGAGGAAAGAGGAGGACATGCTGGGATGCAGCAGGAAAGAGCAGGAGATGCTGGGATGCAGCAGGAAAGAGGAGGACATGCTGGGATGCAGCAGGAAAGAGGAGGACATGCTGGGATGCAGCAGGAAAGAGCAGGAGATGCTGGGATGCAGCAGGAAAGAGCAGGACATGCTGGGATGCAGCAGGAAAGAGCAGGAGATGCTGGGATGCAGCAGGAAAGAAGAGGAGATGCTGGGATGCAGCAGGAAAGAGCAGGAGATGCTGGGACGCAGCAGGAAAGAGCAGGAGATGCTGGGATGCAGCAGGAAAGAGGAGGACATGCTGGGATGCAGCAGGAAAGAGCAGGAGATGCTGGGATGCAGGAGGAAAGAGGAGGACATGCTGGGATGCAGCAGGAAAGAGCAGGAGATGCTGGGACGCAGGAGGAAAGAGGAGGACATGCTGGGATGCAGCAGGAAAGAGCAGGAGATGCTGGGACGCAGGAGGAAAGAGGAGGACATGCTGGGATGCAGCAGGAAAGAGCAGGAGATGCTGGGATGCAGGAGGAAAGAGGAGGACATGCTGGGATGCAGCAGGAAAGAGCAGGAGATGCTGGGATGCAGCAGGAAAGAAGAGGAGATGCTGTGATGCAGCAGGAAAAAGCAGGAGATGCTGGGATGCATCACCAGGAAACTATTTCGGTCTTCACTTTCTCAAATGTTAAAGAAGTTTTCCCCAAAGAGAAAGAGTCAGAGGAAAGGTCACATGGCTCAACAGGAGTACACCCAGGCTTATAATTCTCTGTGTAACAGCTTCCCACTGCTGCACGACACGCATTCAGTGGCATTTAGAACTCAGGGTGTGTCAGGCACTGTGCCAGTCAGAGTCAAGCTTCTAGATGGAAAGCCCCCATTCCTTAGGATCTAAGCTAAATCTGTCTTTCTAACTATACATCTTTCGTGGGTTATTAACACTTGTAGCACCACCAGTCAACGCAGGGTTTAACAGGAGTTGGCTGTCATGATCTCCCTTTATGCTCAACAGTTAAGCTCTGCAATTGTAAAACTTTGTAGCCAAGATTAGGCTGTGTGGTCTCAGCTGTAAATTTACCTGATTTCCTATCTTAAATGGCTGTGTTCTTTAGAACAACCATTCTGGGCTTTGGGAAGTGTCCTGGCCACATGAGCACTTACTTCTTATACATGTGCCTGTTCTCCGGCACCGGCTGCGCAGTGACTGACTCCGTGCTGTAATGAGTAGGTCTGAGTAGCCAGCAACTTTGGGAGATGTCTTTAAATCGTGTAAAAATTGGCAGAGGTGAGGAGAACACCCAGTCTAGAGTGAGTGAGAAAGGTTCATAAGAGTCAGGTGAAATGAGGTTACTCTTAGCCAAGCTAAAAAAGAGGTAACCCAGGGTGGGCAGATTTTACTGGTGCCTGACACCTGCATGTGATTCTCACTGGCTTCAAAATAGCTACAGTGAAAAGCCAGAGAAGGGAGGGTAGAAAGAAGAGAGATAAAGATCAGTTTCCACGTGCAACATCCATGGCTCACACTCTGTGGTTCTCATCTTTCTAACGTCAGAAGGGGTGAGCATGCCTCTCCTCTGCCCAGGCCTTACCTACCCTACCCAGCTGTAAAAACAAAGTAGCAGCTAATGTTTCAATCTTTAAAAGAAACTGAGATGCTATTAAAATATTTAAATACACTACCTGAAAATCTGTATGCTTCCATTGACTAAGAAAAAGTTTATATTTTAAGACTATAATTCTGAGAATTCTTTTTGTCAATAAGCATATTTTCAGACTCTTAAGAAAACTTGAGAATTCAATACCTCTATCTAATGTGCTATAACTGAATGGAACCATTCTTCCAGCTTCTAGATACATGTGAAATGCACTCATCTTGATAGTCCTCCTTTTTCATGAAGATGCTTGTTAACCCTTCAGTCTTCGACGTCTTTATTTTTCTCTTGCTGATTGTCCATTTGAATGTATTTTTAAACTCTGCTTTAAACTTCTGCTTCCTTTTTCTGTCACTTTTTTTTAATTAAACCGTAGCTGACTGACTTCTACAGCAATATAAAGGTATATATATCTTTTCCTGTATACAATTTAATACATGTAAATAAGTTGTTTTTCTCCCCTAAAGACAACAGAATAATATCCACTTCTTTAGGGTGTCTTTTGTATATATCTTGTATACTTTATTGTTATGCTCCTTTTAAAAAGTAAAGCAAATATGATATGTAAAAAGACAAATAGAACATTCAAATTAGTGAATGTTTCTAGCCTCGTTAATTAAGTTACATTCTTGAACGATAGTTGGAAAAGAAATAGAATGTTTGCTTTCGGGAAATTGTTGCTGGGCTAAGAGCTGCGCTCTTTTGAAACTGGCATTTCTTACTTTCTCACAGGACTCCAAAGCTTATTACCACCTGCTCGAGCAGGTGGCTCCGAAAGGAGATGAAGAAGGTGTCCCTGCTGTTGTTATTGACATGTCAGGACTGCGGGTAAGGCCAGGCCCCACTTGTGTTTGGAGAACACGATGCTGCCTTCACGTTGGCAGTTCTGTCACCCTGCGTGGCCTTGACTCTGGAGTTCCATGAGTTCCTCCAGTGGGCATCTCTGCCTAAAGCCCTGTTAAAACTGTAAAACTGTGAGCAGTGTTGAATAATAATGGATGAGAACTGAATCTGGAAATAAAACATTAGAGAAAGAAACCAATATTAATTAAACGCCATCCAGTGTGCTAGGCCGTTCTGTGCATGTTCACCGTTTGGCAGACTCTGTAAGCCCAGCATGGGTCTGAACACGGTAATACAACTGCAGAGGTTTTTTGTTGTGTTTTTTTGTGTGTGTCCGTGGGGGGTTGTTTTGGGTTTTTTTGCTTTGTTTTTTTGTTTGAGATGGAGTCTTGCTCTGTCACCCTGGCTGGAGTGCAGTGGTGTGATCTTGACTCACTGCAACCTCTGCCTCCCAGGTTCAAGTGATTCTCCTGCCTCAGCCTCCAATTAGCTGTGATTATAGGTGAGCACCACCATGCTTGGCTAATTTTTGTATTTTTAGTGTAGCAGGGTTTCACCATGTTGACCAGGGTGGTCTCAAACTCCTGGTCTCGTGATCCGCCTGCCTCAGTCCCCAAAGTGCTGGGATTACAGGCATGAGCCACCATACCTGGCCAAAACTTTAATTTTGCCACCACTTTAATATTGACCTTGAGAAGCCACTATGCCCGTTTGTGTGCCTCATTTAATATCACTGCAGTGAAATCCGGTGAGTTAATGTTGAAGTTAACTGATTCCTAATGAGTAGAGTAAAAGTAAATGAGAAGGCAAGCTCACGGCATGTACAGTGTGCACTGTTGTCCAGTAAGGTGGAGAAGTAAGAAACCCTAATTTAAACTTGGGCTTTCTGAAAATTGCTGGTTTCATATACTTGAAGGACAATGGACCATATTTCAGCAATATTTTAGTCTGTTTCAAGAGTCTGTTTACAAATGGCTGAAGATTCTCTAGAATTATCTGAGCACATTGCATGTTTGACAATCTGAAGTCTGCGAGAATAATTGCAGTTGATATTATGTATTTATGCATAATAATATGTAGGTTAACTGATAAAATGTATCTTGTTTGCGTTGCAAGTGTACCAGCTAAATGTGGAGACAGCGGTTATGCGAATCCCATGTTCTTATTGGCAAGTGTTAATAGCTTTTGTGAACTGGTAATGGGAATATAAATTAATAACTTAAAAATTTTGATAATCTCATGACACCTATGCAAGAAAATAATATAAAGGAATTTTAATGGTTGGAAATAAGATAAGCTCAGATAAGGTTTTGGAAAATAATGTAAAGGAATTTTAATGGTTGGAAATAAGATAAACTCAGAGTTTTTGGAAAATAATTTAAAGGAATTTTAATGGTTAAGCTCAGATAAGGTTTTGGAAAATAATATAAAGGAATTTTAATGGTTGGAAATAAGATAAACTCAGAGTTTTTGGAAAATAGTGTAAAGGAATTTTAATGGTTGGAAATAAGATAAACTCAGATAAGTTTATGGAAAATAATGTAAAGGAATTTTAATGGTTGGAAATAAGATAAACTCAGATAAGTTTATGGAAAATAATGTAAAGGAATTTTAATGGTTGGAAATAAGATAAACTCAGATAAGTTTATGGAAAATAATGTAAAGGAATTTTAATGGTTGGAAATAAGATAAACTCAGATAAGTTTATGGAAAATAATGTAAAGGAATTTTAATGGTTGGAAATAAGATAAACTCAGATAAGTTTATGGAAAATAATGTAAAGGAATTTTAAAGGTTGGAAATAAGATAAACTCAGATAAGTTTATGGAAAATAATGTAAAGGAATTTTAATGGTTGGAAATAAGATAAACTCAGATAAGTTTATGGAAAATAATGTAAAGGAATTTTAAAGGTTGGAAATAAGATAAACTCAGAGTTTTTGGAACCCACCGCATCTCTTCTGAAACAGGGCAGCCAACCGTCCTTCTGAGGCAGTTGGATAATGGAGATGAGAGGTCTTTATTATTTAGCCTCTGAGCTTCCTTTTACCTGCGACTTTCTGATTTTGGTGCAGTTGCATATAAGCGATGATGTGTTGTTATTAAGCGTATGCCTGAGATAAACACGAATGGTTTCAGTGAGGTTCCCACTTCCTTTCACATTATGCAATCTGCTTTGTGCATGGGGAGCCCCGACCCAGCCCTGAGACATGCTTTTGCCTTGCAGGAGAAGGATGATATCCAGAGGGCAGAATGCATGCTGCAGCAGGCGGAGAGGCTGGGCTGCCGGCAGTTTGTCACAGCCACAGACGTTGTCCGAGGGAACCCCAAGTTGAACTTGGCTTTTATTGCCAACCTCTTTAACAGATACCCTGCCCTGCACAAACCAGAGAACCAGGACATTGACTGGGGTGCTCTTGAAGGTAACTGTAAGCTAGTTGCTTAAAATCGGGAAAGGCACTCACAATTCTAATTCAGTGTCAATTCAACTCACTTCCTAAGCAAATACAAACTCCTTACAGTGGAAACAGGCCATTAATTTTCTGGTATGCAACAAAGAGAATAAAATTTCAGCCAAGCAGGAATAATCAAATACCATTATATCACGTCCATTATACAAGGCTTCATCCATTATCAAAATTAAATGTTTTAGGAAAGATAATGCATTTAATTATTAGATGCAATAAATCCTGAGTTTCAAACAGATAATTTATGTACTTAATGGACTGTGTTGATTCCTAGAAGCAAGAAATTGCCACCATTTACTATCTAAAAACGATATTTAACTTATGCTGGGATATGCTTACTGAGTTTTTTATTTGGCTTTGTTTCTTAAGGGAGGCACAGAAAAGTATTTTGACGCAGAATCCCTAACAGTTGCATTTTTCAGGTTAATGCTCTTGAGATTCAACAAAAAGCATATAGCTTTAATTAGGTTCCACTAGATAGAGCTGCCAGAGATGGTTGCTTGACTTTTTAAAAAAATCATGAAATAGTCCCAATGTTGAGACAAAAAGATCAATTAATATTAAATGAATGTAGATTCCGATTGGAAGTGTGAGTTATCTTTTGCCCCGGTGCTTTGTCTCCCTGGAAATGCAGCATAATCGTGCTCCAGCATCCTGCATCCTGTCATTTGCTGAATTATAGTCAGGGGGTTGGGCTCATTTTGTGGACTCCCGAATCTATATATCAAGCCCACCAGTCACCCATTTTAGCTGCCTCTAGAATATTCCTGTTTGGGTCCTTGCGTATCATTTGAGGTGCAGCAGATGCAAAACAGAATTGGTTCTTTTCCCTCCCACCCCCAACCGTTACCTTTCCAGCCCACCTCTCATCCCATCTGCCCTCTTTTAGAAATGCTCCATTTCCATTAATCATACCATTTTTTTCTTTTAGTCACCAAAACTAAAGACCTTGGATCTATCTTCCTATCCTTCATCCCTACGTCCACTAAATCAGAAAATACCAATAATTCTTCCTTTGGAGCATCTTCTCAAGTGCCTTGTTTCTTTTCTGCTCTCCCAAGCTCATTACCTCATACGCCAATTATTTTAATGGATCTCGGGGCGTCCATTTATCAAATGCTTGAATGTGTCCCACATGCTAGTGTCAAACACTCTGCCCTCTGCTGTGTTTAATTTAAATGCGTATCACCTTTCAGTGATTCTGTACATTGCGACCAGGCACACCCTGGTACTGATTTCATTATAACTCCGCCTTGCTCAAGAAGTTGTTGTAGTCATTTTACAAAACCATAATGACTGCCATTGTCAAATATGTCAACTAAAACCTGTTTCCTGGCATCCAAGGGTCCCCAGTTGTGACTCCCTCCAGATAGGCGTATCTCATTGTGTTGTACGGTACAATGACAAACCAGTTCCTGATTTCCTTAGTAGAGACCTTGCCTCTTGCTCCGTGTGTGTGCATATCCACTCTTCTACTCCCACCCCTTCCCATCTCCCCAAATCCTCTACTCTTTCCTTTTGCCTCCACAGATTTTGCTAGCTATCCAAAGGGAAGTTCAAATTCCACCCCCTCCAAATTCAGTTCATACTGTTCTTTTCCCTGTCTCAACTCAAATAACAGCTACAGCTCCCTCATAAATGAGTATTCTAGCTGTGTGATCTCTGTTTGATGCCTAAAAGCGCTGTTTTTTCCAGAAAGAAGGTAAGCCTTTGAGAGCCAACTGGTACCCCACACAGGATTCCACACACTAATAGATGCTATAGAAATACATGTGGAATTGAAATGGAAAGAAAAATCAACACAGCATAAGAACCCTCATCCAAATCCAATAGGGTTTATTTTCTTCCCTTTCTTTCTTTCTCTCTCTTTCTTTTTTCAGTTTTTATTGCATCCTCTATAATTAAACTTTGCTCATAAGAAAGGTATGTTTTCTTTGGTCCCAGAAGATAACCCATCTTCATTCATCTAGGTGAGACAAGAGAAGAGCGGACATTTAGGAACTGGATGAACTCCCTGGGCGTTAACCCTCGAGTCAATCATTTGTACAGGTAGGAATATTTGGGAACTCATTGTAATGTAAGATGGAGACCCCGAAAGGTCCGTAGGACTCCAAATACTGCCATGATGTGCATTCTCTTCACAAAATGTGCATATCTTGATGGAAGGGAAAAGTGCTAAGCTGAGCTTCAGATGCCGGATATTCAGCTAAAAAAACTCACCTGCATACCTCAGTGTCACTGTGTGCTCAATACAGAAATGATTCATCAACAAAATGAAACATTCACTGTCGGTCCTAAGTGATCTTACGTATAACCTGCATACAAGAGGCAAAACAACAGAAGTTAAGTTTATGGTGAAGTGTCTCCTCTGCCACTTGCTAAAGCCATTTAAAAAAAAATATTTCTCTTACATTTATTTAGTTTTGCAATTTTTAAACCTTTAGGTACAGGGGAACGTGTGCAGGTTTGTTATACAGGTAAACTGTGTGTGTCAGGGGTTCAGTGTACAGATTATTTCATCACCATTATCCTCTTTCTTTCCCTGATGTGGCATAATTGGCTGGGAGGGCATAGCTGGTCATACCTAGGAAGAATGAGTCTCCCAGTCTCTCTGAGTCATGGTTTCCTCACCTCTATAGATGGAGCTACTCCTATCAAAGGTGCAGGGTTGTTGTGCATATTCTTCGAACTAATATGTAAGGAAGTATCTGGCCTATTGTGGGCCCTGAATAAACGTTGGATGTCTGAGAATCCTTCTGTGTTTGTTTTGTTCAGTGACTTATCAGATGCCCTGGTCATCTTCCAGCTCTATGAAAAGATTAAAGTTCCCGTTGACTGGAACAGAGTAAACAAACCACCGTACCCCAAACTGGGAGGCAACATGAAGAAGGTAAACAGCGAAGGTTCTGTTGTCCCCACAGGCAGGCGGAGTCATAACCTGCAAGAGCACTCTGAGGACTTTACGAAGCAGCCAAACTCAGACAAGCAATGTTTATCCAGAAATTAAATTCTAGTACAGCAATCAGAAACCTGAATAGGTTTATTGAAGTGTGCTCATTATTTCAGCCGATTACTTATTTATGATTCCATGTTGGATGTCTTCAAACATTATCATGCAAAAATTCTAATTAAGATCATTAGAGCAGGCAGAGAACCACAGGGATTTTCTCCTCAGCAGGATCTTCATTCTAATTTCTAAAGAATTGGAGCTTTGTGCTGACAGTTGACTTGTACAAACAGTTTGTCTGCTGTCAACACAGTGGGAACGTTGTTTTGAAACAACAGGGTTGACACAGCCATTTCTCACCATTTTTTATCCGTTCACATGTCCATTTGCTCTGTGTGCAGAGGATGCAAGCTCCGATTTTCCATGTCAATCTCCATGATTTCACCTATTTTAGAAATACGACACGTAGGTAACTAAGGATGGCTCTTCACTTATGCAGTGTGATATAGCTGTGAACACATCCATAATAATGAATTCATTTTGGTTTTCCACATTATGACTATTTTTTATGAAAATGAGGAGTTCTCAGGAAAGGTGGAAAATTCATTAATTTTGAATCCTGCAATTGCAGAACCAGTTGAGATTCGAGAGGTCACTCAGTCTGACCATATTGATTTCATTTTTTATCTTTATTTTTATGATTTATCTGATATTTGTCATAATCAAGATGATGACATGAAATCACTTTCCTTTCTGCTCATTCAGCTTGAGAATTGTAACTACGCAGTGGAACTGGGGAAGCATCAAGCGAAGTTTTCCCTGGTTGGCATTGGTGGACAAGATCTCAATGAAGGAAACCGTACTCTCACCTTGGCCTTGATTTGGCAGCTAATGAGAAGGTACTAGAACGTACGGAAGCAGCCTTTTCTTGAATGCGTTATTTATCTAGAAAAATATTAGTAAATTTCCAGCATTATGAGTGAATTCAGTAAAAGCATGTTTTAAGCTAAGCTTAATAACCAGAGAAGCCATTTTTATTTTTCTGCTTTTTTTTTTCAGTTCTATCGGTTTTTGTTTCAGGTATCTTGAAACTCTATTATTAGGTTCCTCATCATTTTACATCGTTGTTTCATTCTGATTTAATCATCTCTTTGTCATTATGAAGTGGCCTTCTTTATGCCTACTAATATTCATTTCTCTGAAATCTATTTTTTCTGACATTAATATATAACAGCTATTATCCTATTGATTAGTGGGTAGCGTGGCATATCTTTTTACCATCCTTTTACTTTAACTGATCTTTGTAAGTAACAGTTACCTTTTAAAGGGACTTTTTAAATAAAGGGGATATTATGCTATATTTATCTACATATGTACTATTTCTAGTGCTCTTCCTACTATTGTATAGATCAAGATTTCCATTTGGTATCATTTTCTGTCTACCTGAAATATTTCTAATAGCACAAGTCTGCTGGTGATGAATGATTTCAGCTTCAATATGTCTGAAAATGTCTATTTCATTTTCAAAAGATTTTTTTTCTCTGAATGCAGAATTCTAGATTGATAGTTTTTTCTTTCAGTACTTTAAAGATAGTTTTCACTGTCTTCTGGCCCACAGTGTTTCCAAGAGGAGATCTATTGTCATTCTTATCTTTGTTTCCATGCATGCAGTATTTCTTTTTTTTTTTCCCTCTGGGTTATTTTAAGATTTCTCTTTTTTGTATGTTTTAGGTAATTTTATTATGATGTACATTGTCGGTTCTTATGCTTGAGATTTATTGAACTTGTAGGATGTATGGGTTTATGCTTTCCATCAAATTTGGAAAACTTAACTTTCATCTCTTCAAACACGTCTTCTGTACCCACTGGCCCTGGTTCTGGGGGATTCCAAGTGCATGTAACTTGGATCATTGAAAGTTGTCCCTAAGCTCACTGATGCTTGATTTATTTATTTTCTCTGTGTTTCATTTTGGATAATTTGTATTGCTATGTTTTCAAGTTCAGTATTTTTTTTTTTTTGCCATGTCTAAATTTCTATTAACCCCATCCAGTGTATATATTTGTTAACCTGGACATTATAGTTTCCATGTTAGAAATTTTGAGTCATTTTATATTGCCTATGTCTGTCCTTTCCTTTACCTTCTTAAACATACAGAAAATAATTATAGTAACATTTTGGAATCTGTTTCTAATTTATTTTCATCTTCATTACAAGTCACACTTTTGGGCTTCTTTGCATGCTGCTAATTTTTTGATTGTATGTCAGATATCATGAATTCGACCTTGCTGTGTACTGGACATTTCTATATTCCTTTAACTATTCTTGAATTTTATCCTGGGATAGACTTAAGTTACTTAAATACAGTTTGATCTATTGGAGGCTTACTTTTAAGCTTAATTAATCTAGAGCTCATTATTTCTTCTTAGTAATGAGAAAATACTCTCTGAGTACTTTACTTGATGCTCCATGTATTATGAAATTTTTCCACTCCAGCTCATTGGGAACAAATTATTTCCAGCCTGTGTGAACCCCAAGGATTGCCCTGCAGGCTTATTTCTGGTGGGTTTCCCCGCTCAGCCTCGAGTAGTTTCTTCACGTGGGTGCACTGAGCAGTCCTCAGGTGACGACTGAGGGAAACCCTCTGAGGGCTGCGGAAGCTTTCTTTCTGAATGACTCTCTTTTCTCTACACAGTCCTCACCACTCTGATAGTCTCCCCTAAATTCTAGGCACCTGGGCTTCCTTCACTTCTCATCCCGGTTTCCTCCTCTCAGGAGGATGGCCATGCTCTGTGTGGGTTTTCTCCCCTACACTGCAGCTTAGAAACTGTTTCCATGCTGGAAAAATCTTAAGGCTCACTTTGTTGTCTTCTCTTCAGGGGCCACTGTCCTGTGCACCCTGTTGTCTGATGTCTGAATAACACTGTTTCATATGTTTTTCTCTGTATAATACGTGTTTAAATGTGGTCCCTGTTATTCCGTCATGGCCAGAAACAGAAATTCCTTTCATAGAGAACTTTAGATACCTTTTGGAGCTGAATATAAACTTGACTAATGTGAGAAGTATAGGGTGATGTAAGTTAAACAAAAATAGAATATAAGAAGATATGCAAACAGAAAATAAATCATAAGGAAAACAAAAAATTTTGGTACAAAATCATAGGCTTGGGAAGACTTTTAGATAGCAGTTCTGTAAATAATGAAATAGTTTCCTTGTAAGTGCTTCAGTCTTCCCCTTATACTAATAGCTCGGACAAGGCAGAAATCTTTCCTCCCATTACAGCCTAACTTAGTGTGACTTAATTCATTTTCCTACCTGGGAGGAAGCCCCAGAAACTGCACGTCACATTGCACTCTGTCTGGCAAGATAATGGCAAAGACGAGGTTTGTGGTGTCCCTAGGCACTGCGGCTTTAGTTCCAAGCCACTGTCTGCAGACCCTAGTAATGGCTCACTCTGCATGTCATTGCATCCCTGTTTGCAGATTAGGTAGGGGAATCGGAAGTGATCATCAAAGATTTCACTCCCTGATTCCCATTTGCTTTGCTAAGTATAGAGCTCCATCACGCATTTGGAAACTGGGGCCTCTTTAATGATGGAGGCAGCTGCCATAAGGCTCCTCTGCTGCAGAAAGCACCAGAGTTTTCCTGTGTTTTAGTCAAGCTCTGTCCTTTAGGTTACTGCCTGTGTCCAGAACAGCTTTGAAAACGCATAAGACTGTTCTCACCAGTGGATTTCCAGATGCTATTTCCAGACTATCTTTATTATCGTCCACATTTTAAATTTTTTTTTTTTTTTTTGAGACGGAGTTTCGCTCTTGTTACCCAGGCTGGAGTGCAATGGCGCGATCTCGGCTCACCGCAACCTCTGCCTCCTGGGTTCAGGCAATTCTCCTGCCTCGGCCTCCTGAGTAGCTGGGATCACAGGCGTGAGCCACCGCACCCTGCCCAAATTTTTAACAAATTAGCTATTCATACTGATTGCTTTAAAAACCAAAGCAAAATTCCTTTTAGTTGCAACAGTTAAACCTACGCATGGGTTTCAATATTAAATAATCTTTAATATATTCTATTTTAATAACTAAAAACCTCAGGCAGCTGGGCACAGTGGCTTATGCTTCCATCCCAGTACTTTGGGAGGCCGAGGCAGGTTGATTAGCTGAGGTCAGGAGTTCGAGACTAGCCTGGTCAACATGGTGAAACCCTGTCTCTACTAAAAATACAAAAATTAGCTGGGCATGGTGGTGCATGCCCAATAGTCCCAGCTACTCAGTAAGCTGAGGCAGGAGAATTGCATGAACCTGGGAAGTGGAGGTTGCACTGAGCCAAGATCGTGCCACTACACTCTCAAGCCTGGGCAATGGAGCAAGAGTCCATCTGAAAAAAAAGAAAACAACTCGGGCCAACTCTGTATTAAATTTCATAATATCTGAAAAACATCTTGCAATGTGATCTTTGGATGTTTTACAAAAATGTGGCTCAAAACCCTATTTAATGGCAATAAGGTCCACTCCGCTGTTGCTGTGTCCACCTGGTTAAAAAGCCGTATTTCTCATGAGTGTTCACTACACAAGAATTGTGCATATAAGAAATAATGACGGATAATTATATAAATGGCACCAGAAGGGATTTTTTCCCCTGCATGCCATATATGAAAAGACCTATTCAATTTACAGCCAGTTCTGGCTGGAATTTATTTTACTGAATTGTGCTGTTGTGCTAATCTGGTCATCTATCTGGACAATGAATGGCTTGTCACTTTTCCCATGGGAACAAATGAGAGATAGGTACTTAAACTTCCCTTTCCCCTCCGGCAGCTGGAAATGATTCTCAGGGTGGACGGTTGGCAAACAGTGTGTGCATAAACTTGCAGATAGAACCCTGGGAGCAAGCGGGCTGCTGGCACATGGCAATGATAGGGCTACTCAGGCAAATGAACAAATAATCCAGAGCAGACAAATAGGGAACTCTCCCCAAATCAAACAGGCTGTGGATGGTGAAGTCGCGATGGGTCCTTGAAAAACAAAACACCAAGGTTCGCTCCTCTGTGCCAAACGTTAATAAATAAAACAGTGTTGGAAGGCAGGAAAGTAAGCAGGTGATAATCACATCCCTCCAGGGCCTCACATCCAAGCCTTGTCAATCCTCGTTGGTTGAAGGAGGAACTGGCTGAAGCTGGGGCTCACAATGCTGTTTCATTTTGACACAGGGCACATTTTGCAAATGCTGGTAATACTGAGATCTTGTCTGGAGGGCCCCATGAACAGCACGGTCATCCTGAAGCAGGTTTGATGATGTGCAGTAATTGTCTCAAAAGGAAAAGTCTAGAAAGACACAGGCCAAATTAGTTTTTGTTTTGCGTTTCAAATATGTGTTTAGATGAGCAACTGCTTAGTATACGATCTAGAATGGGGGCTCCAGCCTAATTCTATTTTATTCCCTTTTTTAAAAAAAAAAATCATTGTACTTACACACGGGTGTCTGATTCCATTTCAAACCTTTGCATCTCACTTGAGGTGGCAGAAAGATGCCTCGTGTTCACAGGACTCTGTGCCACGATGAGAGGCCGTTCCCAAACCCCAGAATGGAATAAGCTGCCTCCACAATTTTCCATACCTCTGTAAGGTTCCCTGCTCCTTGGTAGCTTATTCTTGCAGATACACTTTAGTGTAATGGTGGGCTTCTCCTCTGCACCATTTAGTTCTCAGGCTTAGGAGATGGGTCAAGAACACTGCTGCTGTTTACGTGAGTGTGTTGACAACTCCTGACGAAGGGAAGTGAGAGCCAGGTCCTGGGCCAAGACACGCTACCAAAAGATGAAACTTGGTTTGTTCCATCAGGTTTTATAGAGAGAGGACCTGAAGAAGCAAGCACTGACCTACCATTTTTTTATTCAGACGTTCATTAGGCAGAAACTCTGGATGTTAGAGTAAATGCTAGTAAGTTAATATGCATGCTATCCAGAAATAAGAAGCCAGTTATGCCACAAAATGTAACCTATATGAACAGATCAAAAGTAGGATCTTTTCCAAACTAGAAATATTCTGAAAATCTATCTGCACTTATCCTATTTATACTCATGATTTCTCAGCATTTTGGTTTCATCTCTGGGCCCAGACTGAACATCTTTATTATCCCCTTGCTTTCCCTGGGAGAGACGCACTCTATTTCACCTGCCGCTGTGCCTTCATTTACTAGATGCCCAGTAGTACTAGGCAGTCTGCTATCCTCTGATAAACAGGGCACGTGGACCCTGTCCGAGGGCACATGGTGGATGCCAATGCCATCAAAAGTTCTGGGAAACAGGTTTGAAGCAAGTGTAACAACACTGATTAATACACTCTACGCTGGGAAAGTGATACTTGAGCTGAGGATTGTTCAAAAGATTAGGAATTCACTAGAAGGGAAAACAGCCCGGGCAGTTAGTACAGCAGCAGGAGGCAGGAGGAGGACGCAGGTGCGGCTGGGGAGCTGCTGATGGTTCTGTGTGGTTGAAATGCGTATATGTCTTTGTGTGTGTGTGTGTCTGCGTGTGTGTGTGTGTGTCACAGGATGAGCAAGCAAGCAGGGAGGGAAAAAGGAAATCACAGATGTGCTGGAGAAGGACATTAGAGCCAACTGCAAAGGGCCTTGTGTGCTGTACACTGGAGCTTAACTGTATTCCTTGGGCCATGTCGAGTCACTTTAAATAACGTGACCAAGCAGGAAACAGTGGCATTTGTCTGTGGTCTATTCCATACTGGGGAGGCTGGGGTGGGAGGATTGCATGAACCCAGGATTTCGGGGATACAGTGAGCGCTGAGCATACCTATGAATTTGAATATCTACTGCACTCCAGCCTGGGTCATGAGCCACATAGTGAGACCTCATCTCTAAAAAAAAAGAAAAATAGGACCCGAACTGTACTTGAGAAAGGAAATTCTGTGAAGAGGAAAAACAGAATGAAGAAGAGCTAATTGATTTGAGGGAGACTTGGGAAGTGTAATTGATAGGACGTCACTGTCAGTTTGTTAAATTAATTTTGATAAAGAAAAGTTACAGAAGCCATTTTCCTTCCTCTCTTCAGTGCCAGGAAGATGCTTTAACCTAGAGGAGAAAGGCATTGCTCTTATTTCAAGGACTAACCTTGAAAACCCTGTGGAAAGTCACGAAAGAAATGTACTTTTCACAGAAGCAGTAACTAGAGGAAGATAGCCGGTGGATTGTGTAAGCAAAATTCTGGAGTACCCAAGTGGAGGGTGACCTGAATCTAGGCAGACAGGTCAGATGAGATTCAGTCACAGGATTCTTGAGTTTCAGCTTGAGAAGCACACTCTGTAATTCTAGCCCTGCAGGTCTTTCATGTGTAATTAGATCCCCTCCTGTAAACCTGAACCATGAAGTCAACAAGTCCATGTGTTCCTCAACTGGTTGGCTTTCTCCCATGTTACCTCCCCTTAGAAGGGGGTAGCTTTAGAGAATGGTGGTTCTCTGCTCCAGAGAATGTGTTTTTGTTTTGTTTTGTTGTTTTGAGACAGAGCCTTACTCTTTGCCCAGGCTGCAGTGCAGTGGCACTATCTCAGCTCACTGCAACCTCTGCCTCCCAGGCTCACGCAGCCCTCCTACCTCAGCCTCCCTAGTAGCTGGGACTACAGACACGCGCTGCCACGTCTGGCTGATTTTGCGTGTGTGTGTTTGGTAGAGACTGGGTTTCGCTGTTTCCCAGGCAGGTCTGGAACTCCTCAGTGTAAGCAAACTACTCACCTCGGCTTCCCAAAGTGCTGGGATTACTGGTGCCCAGTCTGCTCTGCGGAATTTTAGGAGCTTAAAGCATCTTCTTAATAAATGTCCCCCAACCCCTCCAAAACAACAAAAATCAGTTCTCCTAACAGTAGGTAGCTGAGGTCATTGCTACCTTCAGACTAAAGATTACACTTTTATGTATATAAGGGAAAAAACTCTTTCATACTTTTTCTTTATTGTGTAGGCCACTCAAACTTTTCCAACATTGTTATTTCTTGATTTTTATGTTTTTTTTTTTAATCGTCACAGGTTGGAATCTTTTGCTTCATTTTCTTTTCCTTGCATTTTTTCTCTTTGGCTTTTTCTTTTTGCTCAGAGCAATGATCGTGCTCAGGAGGAGGTACGTGCCTTGCATTTCATTGTAAGAGCCATAAAGTGACATCCTAACTCATTCTAAAAGGAACTAATGTTGTTATATATTCTTTTCTTTTCTCAAATGTAACAGTATCCAGACTGTCTTCTCTGACATACCTGAAAAGAATATTTCCATTCTTAGCTACTTTCTGTTCGGAGTAAATGTTTTAGCCACTAGTCTCCAGAAATCCTTCTTTCTTTTGTTCAGGTACACGCTGAATATCCTTGAAGAAATTGGTGGTGGCCAGAAGGTCAATGATGACATTATTGTCAGCTGGGTGAATGAAACGTTGAAGGAAGCAGAGAAGAGTTCATCGATCTCGAGTTTCAAGGTAAAACTCTTTGTCTTCCGCTGGAGGCCACATGAGCTCTGTGCCTGTCTGTATTGCTGTCATTATATGTTCAAGTGACCTCAGTGTTAGGTATGTGAGACTCCCTCTCCCATTTAGATTTTGCTGAAATGATTCGCTATTGTTTCGATGTTCATCAGCAATTTCCCTGACGAATTTCTCAATACTTTCTCCCATAATAGTTAGTCATAAAAACCCATCATTAAAATAATAATTTTAACTTTTATTTCAGCTTCTGGGGATACATGTGCAGATTGGTTACATGGGTATATTGCATGATGCTGAGGTTTGGGGTACAAATAAATCCATCACCTAGGTGTGAAGTATCGTACCCAACAGGCAGTTTTCCAGCCCTTGTCCTCCTCCCTCCCTCCCCATTCTCCTAGTTTCTACTGTCTATTATCCCCATATTTTTAATTTTTATTTTTATATCTGTTTTTTTGAGACAGGGTCTCACTCTGTCACCCAGGCTGAGGTACAGTGGCATGATCATGACTCACTGTAGCCTCAAACTCCTGGGCTCAAGTGATCCTCCTGCCTCAGCCTCTAGAGTAGCTGGGACTACAGGTGCACACTGCCATTCCAAGCTAATTTTTTCTTTTTTTTTTTGGAAATGAAGTCTCACTATGCTGCCCAGGCTGGTCTCACATTCCTGGGCTCCAGAGATCCTCCTCCCTTGGCCTCCCAAAGTGCTTTGGGATTACAGGGGTGAGCCACCATGCCCAGCCTATTCCCATCTTTATGTCCATATGTACCCAGTGCTTAGTCCCCACTTAAAACCCATCATTTTAAAAGCAAGATTTTCAGCATTGTTCTTTCAAAGCAACATAAACTATATGATAGTATTTGTGAAATGTGCACATCTCCATGATTCAGATTAACATTATAATGATGACATGTAGAATGCTCAAAGATCTCCTTGTAATGTTTTCTAAAAAAGCAGTTGTGTACTTCTATCTCAATCCCATTTTCATTAATAGCAGCATTTTATTAGATTTCTTGCCTCGTGTTTCATACATTAACTGTGTTCTTCCTCAAGGGACCTGTGTACTTGGTCCCTATCATAATAATGCCTGTGCCATCTAACTACATTTTTCTAGTTGAAGGTCAGGAGGGCAGGGAGGAACCCCTTCAGAGTCGTATTAACAGGGTTGGTGCGGCACTCATCATGATATTCAGTCTGTGCTTCAAAATCAAGAAAAAATTAAAATCTCTTTCTACAAGCAGGAGCAGAAGATACTGTCAGGGCAGGGTTGTCACAGGAGTGTCCACCTGCTGTGAGCCCATCCCAGACAACTGTCACCTCTGCTCCGTCTCCAGCCTGCTGTCCAGTCTGGAGGGCTGAGCAGAGTTAGGAGTGGATGCTGGTCACTGATGCGAGCAGATTCTTCCAGAAAGGGAGTTGGAAAGGCAGTAAAGAAAAGCAGAGTCGAAAGGAGCTCTAAATATCGAACGTACTCTGGTACCAGAGGCTCCTTGTGCACCCCTCAGGGCGTCTTCGCTGGCATTTCGAAGCTGGCTTTACTGTTTTCCTGATTTCATAGGTGAGGCCGTCAAAGCTCAAGTACCTTCCTGAGAGCATGGCTAGTGATCGTATGTGACGATCCACAAACGGAGGAAAACGCCTTTTTACCTGCGGGGTGAGGCTACAGAGTGCAGTGTAGCTATAGGTCGCTTAGGTGTAATGCAAAGGGACCAGCGTGCTTTGCCATTTTAGCTGTTCCTAAAAGCTGCTGCTCCAGCCCATTGCATTAGGCTGTGGCTTCTGGGGTGTTCCTAGGGGACAGGGTTTGGCAAGCGATGCTGGGGTTGACTCTCAGGAAGGTTTGACAATTCTTTTGCTCCTTGTAACGCTCTGGGCTCATTTTCTTCTGTCTTCTTAGAAAGTCGTTGCAGAATTGATTAAGTCCTAGAGGCCACACAGTGTACCGATAGGAAACATCATACTAACCCCACATTTCTTTTATGTGAAGCCCTTTTAGAAATGAACACAACCCACTCTTTTTTTATTTTTTTGAGACGGAGTTCCGCTCTTGTTACCCAGGCTGGAGTGCAATGGCGCGATCTCGGCTCACAGCAACCTCCGCCTCCTGGGTTCAGGCAATTCTCCTGCCTCAGCCTCCCGAGTAGCTAGGATTACAGGCACGCACCACCACGCCCAGCTAATTTTTTGTATTTTTAGTAGAGACGGGGTTTCACCATGTTGACCAGGATGGTCTCGATCTCTTGACCTCGTGATCCACCCGCCTCGGCCTCCCAAAGTGCTGGGATTACAGGCGTGAGCCACCGCACCCGGCACAACCCACTCTTTAAAAAAAAAAAAATGGATTCAGAGAATGCATTTGCAGGTTTGTCACAAAGGTATATTGTGCGATGCTGAGGGTTGGGCTTCCATTGGACGCATCACCCAAAGCGGTCGTTTTTTACCTTTGGCCACTTCCACCCTCCCACTGCTGCTATTCACCAGTGTCTACTGTTACTACCTTTATATCCATATGTACCCGATGTTTAGCTCCCACTTGTAAGTGAATAGATGCAGTACTTATTGGTTATCTGTTACTGTATTAATTCACTTAGGATAACCGCCTCCAGCTGCATCCATGTTACTGCAGATAACATGATTTTATTCTTTTCTATGGCTGCATGGTATTCCATGGTGTATATGCACCACATTTCCACTATCCAGCCCATTGTTGATGGGCACCTAGGGTGGTTCCATATCTTTGCAGTTATGAATAGCGCTGCAATGAACATGAGCATGCAGGTGCTTTTCTGGAAGAATGATTTATTTTCCTTTGAGTATGTACCCAGTATTGGGATGGCTAGCCCAAATCGTAATTTTATTTTTAGTACTTTGAGAAACCTGCAAACTGTTTTCCACAGGGGCTGAACTAATTTACATTCCCACCAATATATAATAAAAGGGAATTATAATAATACCCTTTCCTCCACAACCTCACAGACATCTGTTACTTTTTGACTTTTTATTAATAGCCCGTTTACATGTTGTGTGATGGTATCTCATTGTGGTTTTGGTCCTCACTTCTGTGATGATTAGTGGTGCTGAGCATTTTTCCTTATGCTTGACACAATCCACTCTTAACATTCTGTCTCTTTCCAGTTGTGCTAATTTCCTCCTATTTATTATTTGAGAATGACTACCTGCTGTTGGTAGAAAGTGGGTTTCCTGGGAAGTTACTGATGCCCCTACAGAAACTACAGTTTATTTGAAACACTATGTGGAATACTGCTGCATTTCCCAGGCCAGGCTGCACATATTACGTATTTAAGAAGAAAAAGCCGCCCACTTCCTTTGAGCTGAATGGGAGTGAATCTGGGATACATGGATGAAACCCTCCCTTTCTCTCTGCGTAGGACCCAAAGATTAGTACGAGCCTGCCTGTTCTGGACCTCATTGACGCCATCCAACCAGGTTCCATTAACTATGACCTTCTGAAGACAGAAAATCTGAATGACGATGAGAAACTCAACAACGCAAAGTACGTAAATCAGATCAGGAGGGAAGGACCCGACGGGCAGCTGCATGGTTGTAAAGTCTAATGCTCACGCTTTTGTGCAAACGCTTTATTTTCACTATTCATGCTCTTCCTTCTCATGACTTACTGCAGTCTCACCACCACTATTTTGGATATGGTGCAATCGTAGCTTAAAGCTCCTAGTGCCAGAATAGGAGCAAGACAAAATAATAATAATAATAATAATAATGAGTGTTCCTGTAACTGATAAACAAGCCTGTAGTTCCATAAAGCCCATTTCCTAACCAAATGCCCCATTCATGAATATTCATCGATAAGAATGAAAAAGGGTTGAGTTCCACACCAGAACCATCGCCAGTGTGAGAGCCACTCAGGTCACCCGCCAAATGCTTCCTCTAGAGTGAGCGTCAGCATATTACAGTTTCTGAGCCAGATCCAGCCTGCTGTCTGCTTTTCTAAATAAAGTTTTACTGGGACACAGCCTATTCATTTACATCTTGTCTATAGCTGCTTCCCTGCTACAGCAGAGCTGCGTAGTTTCAACAAAGCCTAAGATGTTCACTCTCTAGTCTTTTGCAAAAAAAGTGTATGAACTTCTGCTCCAGACAGGTGCTTTTCTCAGGTCAGGTTCTGCCCGTTTCCTCGGACGGCCACAACAAAGGGCCCCCCCCAGCCGGTGGCAGAAGGTTCTTCTCTCACAGTTACAGGAGCCAGAGGTTCGCATCAAGATGTTGGCAGGATGATTTTCCTCCAGAATCTGCCCCATGCCTCCGTGTCTGTGTGGCATTCTTCCTGCGTGTCTGACTTTACATGGCTGTCTTCCCCTTTGTGTTTCTCTGTGATGCCTTTTCCTTAGAAAGACACGAGTCCTATTGGATTAAGATCCCACACAAACCCAGCATGGCCTCGTCTTACCTATTTACATCTGCAGCAGCCCTCTTTCCAAACGGGGTCGCAATCGGAGGCGCTGGGGCTTAGGACTTCAGCTTATGAATTTTGAAGAGACACAATCGGTCCATAGCACAGGTCTGGAAGTGACAAGTGTCCAGTGCCCGGCCTCCCTGCTTTACGATCCCACCACAGCCCTTCTCTCTGTTCCTCATTTGGGAAAGTGGGAACCTGTGCTCCCAGTATGCCGATGTTTAACATGATCTAATGCCGAGAAATAAGTAATTAAACTAAAGTTACAATAGATTGTGATGAGAGGTGTGGAAGGGACAGTATGGAGCTTGCCTAAGGAGACAGAAAGGGGCCTGTCGCTCTTTAGAGCAAAGAGCAGCTCAGCTGAGCTCAACTGAAAAGGCGAGTAAGAAGGAGGAAGACAGGTGAAGGAGAGAGGAGGAAGAATGTCCCAGGCAGAAAGAGAAACACATGTGAAGACCCGGAAGTTGTAAAAAGCCTTCAGCCTTCAGTTCAAGGAGAATGTGATTAGGTTAAGAAAGTCTCCCAGGCCATACAATTTTTCAGTTGTGCAGCTCAGATTCAAAGTCCAACTTCAAAGCCCACACTCCTAAGCACTCTCCTGTGAGGGCAAGATCCAAAATTACTTAGAAAAAGCAGTGAAAGAAATTACACAAAATGCGAAGTGTGGTTATGTAACGGTGGCAAGATTGTGTGTGATTTTATCTGAAGCTCCCTTGTAGTTTTCAGACCATTTTTCTCTGTGTTTCATAATGGGGGAAAATTAGTTTTACCTCATTAATAATTAATATGGAGGAAGTTATTGGGAGATAGACGAGGAGGAAAAATGGAATTACTACTGACTGATGCTTTCAATTTAACTTGATCCTATAAAGTAGAAGTAAGCCGGGCACAGTGGTTCATGCCTGTAATCCCAGCACTTTGGAAGGCAAGGACCTGAGGCTGGGAGTTTCAGACCAGCCTGACCAACATGGAGAAACCCCGGCTCTACTAAAAATACAAAAAATTAGCCAGGCATGGTGGTGCGAGCCTGTAATCCCAGCTACTCAGGAGGCTGAGGCAGGAGAATTGCCTGAACCCAGGAGGCGGAGGTTGCAGTAGGTGGAGATTGTGCCATTGCACTCCAGCCTGGGCAACAAGAGTGAAACTCCATCTCAAAAATAAATAGCTAACAAACAAACAAAGTAGAAGTAAAGTAATTTTAGGAGAGCAGGAGGTAGTAAGTGTGGGCTTGGGTAGAGTGAAGAAGGTCTGGTGTAGCTACAGTAAGAGGTCATTAGATAATAACGAGCCACAGTAAGAGGTCACTAGGTAATAATGAGCCACAGTAAGAGGTCACTAGATAATAATGAGCCACAGTAAGAGGTCACTAGATAATAATGAGCCACAGTAAAAGCTCACTAGGTAATAACGAGCCACAGTAAGAGGTCGCTGGAGAATAATGAGCCACAGTAAGAGGTCACTAGATAATAATGAGCCACAGTAAGAGGTCACTAGATAATAGCCACAGTAAGAGGTCACTAGATAATAATGAGCCACAGTAAGAGGTCACTAGATAATAATGAGCCACAGTAAGAGGTCACTAGATAATAATGAGCCACAGTAAGAGGTCACTAGATAATAATGAGCCACAGTAAGAGGTCACTAGATAATAATGAAACACAGTAAGAGGTCACTAGATAATAATGAGCCACAGTAAGAGGTCACTAGATAATAATGAGGCACAGTAAGAGGTCATTAGATAATAATGAGCCACAGTAAGAGGTCACTAGATAATAATGAGCCACAGTAAGAGGTCACTAGATAATAATGAGCCACAGTAAGAGGTCACTAGATAATAATGAGCCACAGTAAGAGGTCACTAGATAATAATGAGCCACAGTAAGAGGTCACTAGATAATAATGAGCCACAGTAAGAGGTCACTAGATAATAATGAGCCACAGTAAGAGGTCACTAGATAATAATGAGCCACAGTAAGAGGTCATTAGATAATAATGAGCCACAGTAAGAGGTCACTAGATAATAATGAGCCACAGTAAAAGGTCACTAGATAATAATGAGGCACAGTAAGAGGTCACTAGATAATAAAAGAACTGCCAGGTAGTGGTGGGGGTCATTGGAAAAGAAATCACAATCAATAAAATTTATTTTCATATATCTACAAATAGAGCAAAAATTTTCTAATGCAGCTATTATAATTTTATGTGAAAATATGGAATATAAATCTCTGGCTACTCTATATTGTAGTAGTATAAATAAGTACAAATATATGTGGGCAAAAATTGGAATGGAACAAAGAATTTAAAAATTGATGTGGATGGTCAGGATATTATAGAGGCATTTTTCCTCTTTTGCTCCTTGGGAAAATGTTACTGTGAGTGAAATATAGTCTGCAAACTTTTCCTAGCACACATTTTTATTCAGTTCTGTGACTTTTTCTGCGGTGCTGCTATGTAGCCCAAGAGAATACTCCTGGTGTGAGTATCAAAAGCGCCACATGTGCTGGGTGTAGTGGCTCACACCTATAATCCCAGTGCTTTTGGAGGCTGAGGCAAGATGTTCTCTTGAGGCCAAGAGTTCAAGCCCAGCCTGGACAACATAGTGAGACCCCTGTCTCTATAAAAAATGTAAAAAAAAAAAAAGCAGGAGCTGAAGAGTTCTCCAAAGACAAATAATACACTTGATAACGATCACGAGGCTAGGCAGCAAGTCTGATGCTTTGTCAGAAGCTTTTGTTGAACCAAAATTTGTCCACAGAAGTGTGAGGATGCCGGTGACTGTAAGTTCTGTTTTGACTGTGCAGAGACTGACTGTGACCCTCCAGGCTCCCATTCATGCTGTGTTTCTCATTTGCCCTCTTTTCTCTCTTTTAGGTATGCCATCTCTATGGCCCGAAAAATTGGGGCAAGAGTGTATGCCCTGCCAGAAGACCTGGTTGAAGTGAACCCCAAAATGGTCATGACCGTCTTTGCCTGCCTCATGGGGAAAGGAATGAAGAGGGTGTGAGGGCCGCTGGGGCCGGGCGGGAGGTGGTGCACTCCCTCCTGACCTCTCAAGCCATTCCAAAGTTCAACTTGGTGACATTCTACAAGATTCCAAACAAGCACATATTAGTGCAGCCAAGTAGCCTCTCCTGTATTTAACAAAAAGTGCTTCGTTCTTTGCAGGAGGCCCAACCTTCTATACATATGCTTCTGTTCTTGATTTATTTCCTTCTTCGAAAATCTAGAGGAAAAGAAAGAGGTTGTTTTCCAGGTGCCCTTCTTGCTTTTGCCATTAGTATTGAGGGTAGAAGCTGCAGTGTTATTAATTTTGATGTAATCTTTCAAACCAGCTACATGTAGCTTCCCTTTTCTTTAAGATGAGGGCCAGGAGGTGAAGCATCATGCCTGCCCTGAGGCCTGTTCCTGGAGGTCGGCATCTGATCTGTGGCAGGCCCCTCTTTCTGTCCCCTCTTCCTGCCCCGCCTCCCATGACGTTGCCCCTCACACTCTTGGAACCACACCTTCTGGGGGGCCCATCTCTTCTGGCCATCCTCGTCTCTGGGCCATTTGGAGCATCTGATAAATCGGTCAAGCTGTCGGAGTCCCAGGAATCTCTGGTAGCCTGCAGAAGTAAGCCTCATCATCAGAGGCTTTCCTCAAAACTGGAGTCCCACATGTTATCAGGTTTTGCTTTTTTCAGCCACTAAGAATCCCTGTTTCTAACTCTAGAATTTGGGTTCGGACCAGCTCTAACGTCCTGAATACTCTGCCGTCTAGAGCCTTAATCTCGATGGACGGGTTGGATCCAAGGAGGATGTGATGGGGCATCCAGTCACTTGGGGGCGGCATGGAGCTGTAGGCATCCTTTAGGGTGCTGCCTCTGCAGGCACATAGCCCCTCGCGTTAGATCTGGCTACCATCTGTCAATATTTGGAGGCAATCCTGCCTTGCTTTTGCTCGTAGAGCTTAGCGTATCTGATCCTTGTCAGGCCATATCATCAATGTTTACTTTTTTGGTACTATAAAAGCTTTCTGCCACCCCTAAGCTCCAGGGGGGACACTATGTGCCAATGAATAGCACCTCCACTCACATACACACACACCCAGCCAGCTGTCGAGGGTACAATGAATCTATGCCAGATAAGAAATGGTGGCATTGCATTACAAAGGGCTGATTTACCGGACAAAGAATTCCAAAGCAAAACCAGGACAGAATGAATCTGAGCAGTTCTCATAGGTCAAGCCATTTCCCCCCAAACCAACTGAAGGCTTAAAAGCAACAGGGCATTGTGAACCCACACTAGACTCCCACTATCACGGGGAAAGGGTTCGTCAATGAGGTATCTTCTTAGTGGTGGTATGTAATAGAACTTAGCCATTCTTCAAAGCAATTGAAACACGTTGCTCTGGATCTGTTCCTTGGCAGTGGACTCAGAAAGCCAATATGTGGCTCCTCCCAGCCTGTAACCAGTATCTGCTGCTTCTGAATGCAAAGTGGTTGGTTTTGACTTCACACTGAACTTGCTGTAGCCTCGGACGATTTCCCCCCATTCGCCTCCAGGGAGAAAGAATGTTACTGCCTTAATGAAAAATGACGAGCATGATGCTCAAAATCTTTCCAAATAAAATGTTCCCCGTGTTAGGTGTCTCTGGGTGTTTCCTTCTGGAGGTTTGCGGCATTGTGCTAACAGTGTTCATTCATTCATCCCACCAGCACGCTTCGAGTGCCTGTATGTGCTAGGCATCGTGCAAGACTTGAGGAGTGTGCCTCTAAGTGAAACAGGCGGTGTGCTCAGCTGATGCCTGTCGTGGGAAAGACAGAAATCAAACAATTAGAATAACAGATGTGACAAGTGATGAAAAGAAGGGCAGGGTGAGAGACGAGTTTATGACAGGAAACAGTCTGAAGAAAAATAGTGTAGCTGGAAACTAAAGAGTACGTTTCGGTTAGGCAAAGTGGAGAGGTGTGAGACCTTTCCTCACTTACCATCAGGGTCATGGCCAATACTAGGACAAAAGATGGGTTAACAAGAGAAAAGGTGACAAATTAATCAAAGTTTTACATGACATGGGAGCTTTTCAAAACGAAAACCCAAAGATTCAGGAAAAACTTCATTTTTATGCTTAGGTTTAATGCAGAACGAGTGGCCATGTAGAAATGTGATTGGGCAAAAGGCTGTGATCTAAGGTTAAGAAATTGAAGGGGAAACCCAGCAAGGTCTGCCTGTTCAGATTCTTCTTGGCTGCCGTCTATAGCATTTTTTCCTGCGGAGACCAGGGCAGGACCCCCCTGGAACGAGGGTCTTATTACCATCTATCAGGCAAGGTAGACCAGAGAATTTCTTTACCATCAGTGTCTACACAGAAAGGCAGGGGGAGGTAGAGTAATTTTTCCAGGGTTTTGTGGCTTGCTTTGGGGAAAAGGGGTTCTAGTTTCTATGACCCTCGTTGAGGAAGAGGAATTCTGCTTTCTATGAGTTGCTTCAGGGGAGAAAGAAGGGCAGGAGACAGGAGGGCAGGAGAAGGTCAGGGAGACCTCGTTTCTGAGGTTGCCTTCGAGGCTTCCCAGTCTCCTTTAGTTTAAAATACTCTGCAAACCAAAGTGCCACACTTGAGGGTTTCATTTTTTTCTGAGCCCCAACAAACCCGATCATAAACAAAAGTCAGACTTAGGGACTGATGCTAAACAACGTCTAGACTGAGGAGGAGGTATCTTTGCGGTTAGCAGGGCCCAGCTCGCCTCTCCAGCTTGGCTGGACCTTGCTTGGGAAGGAGTGGGCATGCGCAGGGAGGATGCCGAGGAGTTCTGCTGCAGCCAGCTTCCTTGGATGGGCTGCTGTGACAGAGAAGCTGGCCACCAATTTGGCATGGTCACACTTTGCCCTGCAGAGGACCACCCCCTCACACAGCAGCTAGGAAGCTGGGCCTTTGTGCCTGAGCTGTGTGTCCCGGCTTCACCAGCAACTTCCTGGCGGTAGCACCTTCCTGGCCTCAACACTCCGGCACCTTCTACACTTAGGAGGTCTCTGTCTTCCCAACATATCAAGAGGCTACAGATATTGTTTCTTTTCATTTGTTCTAGACTGCACTGATGATTCTCATAAATAAAAAGACCGAAAAGATTCAGAAAAGGCCACAAAACTAAGACCATATTGAAGAGAAGACTAAAGGAATTCACAGAAAAAGCATGATACTTTTTGAAATATAAATTCTATTCTTACATTTTAAATTATCAATCCAAGTGTGGCATAAGAAATTTAAATTGTTATAGCCAGGCGCAGTGGCTCCAGCCTGTAATCCCAGCACTTTGGGAGGCCGAGGCGGGTGGATCACGAGGTCAAGAGATCGAGACCATCCTGGTCAACATGGTGAAACCCCGTCTCTACTAAAGATACAAAAAAAAAATTAGCTGGGCATGGTGGCACGTGCCTGTAATCCCAGCTATTCAGGAGGCTGAGGCAGGAGAATTGCCTGAACCCAGGAGGTGCAGGTTGCGGTGAGCCGAGATCGTGCCATTGCACTCCAGCCTGGGTAACAAGAGCGAAACTCCGTCTCAAAAAGAAAAAGAAAGAAAGAAATTTAAATTGCACCAAATGGTCTGCAGTAGAAAGCAGGTCACCTCCTGGCTCCATGCCTGGTGATGCGCTTTGAAAGCAGCTGATATCAGCTCACTAGAGCCAACTGAATTGTGTGCACCTATTGTTAAACTGTCATTAGCCTCACATGGGCCATGGTGGAAATATTTACACCCCCAAAATTATCAAACTCTATAAATAGGGCTTTTCATCCCAGAAGAGCTGGTTTATCAATCCACCACTATCTCTATGCTAACCACCCAAATTCCCCTGCTAATCAGCAACCACTGTTACCAACTTCTTTCGTATCCTAGAAATATTCTGTGCACACATCACACCAAGTATTTCTTATAACAAGTATGAGCATACCATGAACATCACTCTGCTTTCCAGTTTTTTACTTAAGACCTTGTCTTGGAGGCTGTTTCATATTGGTACATACAGACCTGCTTCAATCTTTCCAGTAGGTACTTGGTCTTCTATTATATAGGCGTACCAAACTCTGTTTAACCAGTGACCTCTAAATAGGTTTTTAGGTTGTTTTTGGCCATGGGGCGGCTCACACATGCAATCCCAGCAAGGTCAGGATTTCGAGGCCAGCCTGGCAATTATGGTGAAACCCCATCTCTACTAAAAATACAAAAATTAGCCAGGCATGGTGGCATGTGCCTGTAGTCCCAGCTATTTGGGAGGCTGAGACAGGAGAATCGCTTGAACCCAGGAGGCGGAGATTGCAGTGAGCCGAGATGGCACCACTGCACTCCAGCCTGGTGACAGGGAGACCTTCATCTCAAAAAAATAAGAATAAAAAATAAAAAATGATATTTAGGTTGTTTTAATCTTTTGCCCCAAAAATAAGGCCACAATGAATAATAGTATACCCACTACTTGAGCACAGAATGCTAATTTTAATTCAACAGGTACTTACCAAGTTCCTGCTCTAGCAAAATATTGCACATTGAGTGGTAAGACATGGATCCTCTTAAGTTTCCTCAAATTATTTTATTAAAAACCCTAAGCAGGGACAGATGACCCAGCCAATCCCAACTTCTCTGCTTTATGTCTAAAGGAGCATGTTAACCAGCAGGCATGCACACACAAACCATAATAAAAAGCAGAATGTGATCAAGACAATCACAAATTTATACACTAATTGTCACAGGAGCTCTTGGAAAAAAATTATTGTGAATGAAGGATCAACACAAGTTTTTGGAAGAATTCAGTTGTGATGAATGAGAAGTGGGTAGGAACTGGGTCTCACTCATGCTGATGTTCCCTACAGAGCCAGACACATTGCTAGATTTTTAATAACAGGTTCGTAATTTAAAAAAAAATGATTTAGGCTCCTTCTGATTTTTTAAATAGAAAAAGTAAAAAATAAGCCGGGCGCGGTGGCTCACGCCTGTAATCCCAGCACTTTGGGAGGCCGAGGAGGGTGGATCACGAGGTCAAGAGATCGAGACCATCCTGGTCAACATGGTGAAACCCCGTCTCTACTAAAAATACAAAAAAATTAGCTGGGCATCGTGGCGCGTGCCTGTAATCCCAGCTACTCAGGAGGCTGAGGCAGGAGAATTGCCTGAACCCAGGAGGCAGAGGTTGTGGTGAGCCGAGATCGCGCCATTGCACTCCAGCCTGGGTAACAAGAGCAAAACTCTGTCTCAAAAAAAAAAAAAAAAGCTTTACCCAAAGAAGTGTCCCTCCCCCATCTCTTCTACCCTGTCTTTCCCACCCTGTTTCCACTCACCCCCCACAGCCCCATGTGGATAACCCATCTTTTGATTTCTGGTCTATCTTTTCTGTGTTTCTTTCTTCACAAATGAACAGATACACATGTATTTTCTTCTTCTTTCTTAAACAAAATATCTTCTTCTTTCTTAAGCAAAAAGTGGTTACAATGGAGCCCACTGTAAATCATTAAATATTATTTAATAACTCTGAATCTCAAAAGGAGGAGCTTGAAATCCCAGTCATTTTCTCCTGAGAAGTTCATTGTGGGCAGGTTGATTTATTTTGCAAATTTGCCAATCCTGTCTTCAAGAACATTCAAGTGCATTAACCAATGGGAATGTAGGGGCAGAGGGCCCCCCATTACAGAGGTAGGATGTGGCCAGATACTGGACAAAATGTTACTCGATGCTACTTCCAAAATGATGGGGGTTGGGCCTGGAGTTAGTTGATGGCTATTATGGTGACTTTAAATAAATAAGATTCGCAGTGGCCTCACGTCTTTACTGCTTGAACAGCAGCTTCCACAAAATGGTCTTCCTGTCTGAGGATGGGCCCATCATTCCATCCGGTCAAGGAAGCCTCATTTTGAACAGAGATCCTGTAATCATGCTGACAAGCTGCCCCTCAGTATTGGGTTGGATTAGCCAGATGTGAGGCACTACTTTCTATGTCTTCATCTAAATTTCAAATAATGAAAAAGCCAAAGGCAAGGGAAGACATTTATACTAACACTCTGCAGCCCTCCCTCAACATGGCTATGTCATCCGTTAGTGAATATTCTATAGCTATTGTTCTGAAGCAAAGCAGACAAGATCCTGCTAGATCACTAGCCTTTTATTCTTGGCCCTGTCTTCCCCGAGGTGTTGCACATTTTCTAGGTAGTCTTAAATTAAGAGCAATTCCCATCATACTCTTTTTGAGGGTTTAGTTGTCAAGCAACAGCCTGACTGAGCCAATGCGTATTTCTCTTTTTGGGACTGGAAATGGAAACTAAGTTGATTGACCCAAAGGAACAAGAGGGAACATGCTGTTATATTTTAACTAGTGTGTAAAGAAGGCTCTTATGCAATTAATGATCTGGGTCTTTCTCTCCAGAGAAGTTTGTTGTGCAGAAACTTGCTGTTGGGATGAAGCTTTGCAGCCTTGCAGTCCTTGTAGCTGTTGTTCTCTTCTGTGAGCGGCATGTCTCCGCATTTCAGAGGTAACCCCACAGAATCCCAGACTGCCTGGGCCACTCTCCTCACCTGCTTGCCTCACATCTCATCACGTCAGTGCACTGAGCTGGAGGGCAAAATGGCAAACTGTGAAGACCAGATCTTTCAGAAACTT